AAAAAATCTGTTATTTTTCAGTTTATGTACAGTTAGGACCTGAAGTGAAACCTAATTTGAGCTATATGTCCTTGAAGAACTATACACATACATGCTAATATAACTTTTGTTTTCATAATTTCAGATTGAAGTAGTCCATGATTGTCAGGAGAAGAGAAGTTCTGCTCAACCTTCCAGTTTGGACAATGACAATAGCTTGGATGTTTTAAAGAAGTATCTTTTATTTATTTACATAAACTCATATACACATCACCCCCGTAGGACTGTTTGGTTCAGTGTTGAAAAGCTAATGTGCTTAGAATTTTGAGCACATTTCCAGCATGTCATGCCCACTGTAATCCTAGTGACTTTGAATGCTGAGACAGGAAGATGGCAAGTTCAAGGCCAGCCTCAGCAACTTAGTGAGGCCCTGAGAAACTTAGCAAGACCCTGTCTCAAAATAATTTTTTTGTGTTCACAGAATTGGGTTCTTCTTGGGTGTGATAAAGAGTGCTAGTTGAGGTGTGATTCTTGAATTTAGGCTTCACCAACCTATAGTCTGTTTATGTTACTTGAGGAAAATTATTTAGAATTTTTCAGATTTTTCATTTCTCCTTTTTTTTCCCCAGATGGGAAATAAAAATGAAACGTTTTTCTTTTTAATTTGTTTTTTCAGCTTTAGTGAGGTATAATTGACAATATCATTATATATATTTAAGGAATATAATGTGATACTTTGAGACTTTGATACAAGTATACTTTATGAAGTGATTATCATACTTCAGTTAGTTAACACATCTGTCATCTAATAAATTTGCTTCTTTTGGTGGTGAGGCTACTAAGTATCGAAGATCTACTTTCATTTTTTTGATAAATCATTACATTTATTTAGTACAATGTCCTTGTTTTATAAATATTACCCCAACCAAGTGGGACTTATAAAAAGCTAGGTGAAGAACATTGAGGAACAGTTAGATAACATGCCCACTAGTAGATGGCAGATCTAGGGTTTGAGGCCAAGAAGTTTGATTTAGGGGTTTGTATACTTTATCACTTTTTTTTTAGTACCTGGGACTGAACCCAGGGATGCTTTGCCACTGAGCTACATCCCCAGTTTTTATTTTTTTATTTTGAGACGGCATCTCACTAAAGTTGCTTAGACTAGCCTCAAACATATGATCTTGTGTCTCAGCCTCCCAAGTTGCTGGTATCACTGGGATTACAGGCATGTGCCACTTTATTGCTTCTTAAAGTCACATATATCCATATCTTATTGAGGTTAACTGACATTATAAACTGAACATTCTTAAAATATCTGCTTTAAGTTTTTAAAAGCCATTTTGGGTGTGCAGTTCAATAGTGTTCACTATATCTGCTGTGTAACAGCTAAGATCTACTTTCTAAGCAAATTTCCAGTATATGATACAGTATAAAAATTAGAGTCAGCATGTGGATGTTCAATCCCCAGAGCTGATTCAACTTATAAGTGAAAGTTTAAATCCTTTGGTCAACATCATTTCTTCTTTTTTAAAAAAGGTGAAAATGAATGAAATGAAAAAGGATTGTATAGATACTGTTTTAAAGACACTAACATTAATCATTGTTTGGCTAACTTTTACAATATTGTATTAATATTCTAGACTTGCATATTTGCCTTTTAAATTTTATGTCACAGAATGATAAGTAGCCAGTATTTTGCAGCAAGTTGAATGTGGACTTTTAAATGCTACATGCTTTAAGATGTTAGAAGACAAAAAGAAAGTAAAAAAGAACCAAAGGGTAGTTAAATTAATTAATTATTAATTATATTAATCCATTTAATTTAACTACCCATTGGCTCTTTTTTACTTTCTTTACTTATATTGGTAAGAGGAAAATTAAATATAAAGTCAATTGATGCTGAAATGTATTTTATTTTACAGAGACAGTAGACAAAATTACTACAGAAACTTAAGTATGATTTACACTTGGGAAGACCAGTATAATACATCTATTGTGCATCTTAGAAAAATTCAGAATATTACCTGGAACAGGGGAAAATGATGCTAAGAATGCTACTATCTTTTGTTATTTTTTTTTTTTTGAGAAAGGGTACTAAGAACTCAGAAAAGTATGCCACCCAAAAATAAATACATAAACATCAGACATTTAGGAATAGTTTTTGTGAGTATTTTAGTAAATTGATTCTTAATCTTAGTGAATTAGAAATAATTTTGTAAGTCAATAATAACCCTAGAGTACCCCTGTTTCTTTTGAATATATTTTAAAGAGCCCTGTGGGTGGAACTTTCAGTTATTTTGATGCTAAAACCCAAACCACTGGTAGTTCCAATGACTTAAGTATTTTTTCCTTCAAAGACTTATAATAACTGAAACAACGTTATACAATTCTAAATAATATAATAACTGGTAAATATGGTCTTTTCATTTTAGCCACGTCCTAAATGAGCTGATACAGACTGAGAGAGTGTATGTTCGAGAGCTGTTTACTGTGCTGTTGGTAAGTGACTCCCATTTTCCTGAATGGTCCCTTGATACATTCATTAGAAAGTGTTTAAGGCAGTTTTCGAGTTCTGCCTCCTTCCTCAATTGTCACATGGTAGTAGTGGATATGGCACCCATTGTTTGAGGCTGCATGTTTAAATATGTATATTTATATTCTCTCTCAGTACTGGGAATGGTTGATTCAGAATTTATTACAGAAGAGAAATGCTATTCTCTTAGGGATACAGTGGATTGTTATAATTAATCCCAAGGTGCTATTTAGAGATTGTGTAAAAAGAACCGAGAATAGGATAAAAATACTCATTTGACATAAATGTCACAATATTTATTTGGTCAGAAAAAAATCTAAACACTTATTACCAATTTAAGAAGTTGATTACCTGTACTATACTTTTTCATACTTGATTTCTATTTTATTATCAACAATGCAGCTATCTTGAAAGGCCAAAGACTGTCATTTTATTCTGCCCATCCAGTGGAAATCCTTAACGTCCCTATGTTGCTTTCTAAAGAAAAATGTTATGGATAACATTTAAATATCCTAGATCCCAAAGTAAACATTCAAACAGCTTTACCCACAAATCCCTATATATTGTACTGTACTTAGACCTTTAGTTGCCCAATCAACTATTAATATAAATATTATAAAGAAGCCTAAATATATCTATTTTGAATAGGGCTATCGAGCGGAGATGGATAATCCAGAGATGTTTGATCTTATGCCACCTGTCCTGAGAAATAAAAAAGATGTTCTCTTTGGAAATATGGCAGAAATATATGAATTCCATAACAAGTATGTAATTGTCAAATTGAGTATTTTTTTCATGATATTTTTGAAAGGGCCATTGACCAGTTTATTATTTTTCACATTTTTTCTCTGAAAATTTCACAGCATTTTCATGAGCAGCCTGGAAAATTGCTCTGATGCTCCAGAAAGAGTGGGACCTTGCTTCCTGGAAAGGGTTAGTCTAATTTTTTTTTAAGTTATATACATACGGGCCACCAAAATAAAAAACTCACTTATGAGAGTATATTCAGAGTCAAAATAGGTTTTTAAAACATCTTTGTTTTTGGAGAAGTGACATCAACTCCAGTAAGTACTTAATGCAAAACCAAGTTTTGTTGTAGAAACTGATGTAGTGGGGTATCCAGAGCATGTGTTGCATATTCTATAGTAGCAAATACTTCAGTGTCTCAACTCCTAGGAATGGTGATCCTAGGGATTTAGGGATCATTCTGGGTGTTAAAATGTGAGAGTTGGGATCCTCTTAGCAAAACCACTCTGGGCTTGGTTATTTTTAACCTAAAAGATGCCTTGGTATTCCCCTGCAATTCATGTAAAAATCTTATAATTAGATCTAGTCTGGCATTCAGCCAGCAAGGCATTTATCACAGGAACTTCACAAAACAGAAAGTTGTCTTTTCTTTTAATTTAACTAAGTCATTCAGGGAGGCTCATTATTCCATGTCCCAAGAGTACACTCAGTAAAATTGACTTTCTAAGTTAGTGATTGTGTTCTCCTCCGTTAGAGTTTTCCCTCAGAAATAGATTTTTGCTTACCCTGTTTTGCTTTTCTAGTTCCTCCTCTTCCTGAAAGATCAGTTCTGCTTTGGTTTGGGAGTCATTTTTGATAGATATAATTGTTGAAACTCAAAATGAGTATTTGTCCCAGAAAGTGTTTATAAAATGAGAAGAGAATAAGGCTAAGAAAGAACTGCATATCAATGTCTTTCTCAACGTGTTCTAACTTGAAACTCATTTGAACTATGGACAGTTTCTTTCCCAACAGTGGTGAACCTTCCCTTTGGATTACTACATAAGACCGCTACTCACTGGAAATTTTACATTTACTGTGTATCTTTACATGTATACACAAATTCTCTCACAAACTTGATGAGAAAATCTTTGAGACAGGGTCCATATTCTATATATGTATCTCTCATGAGGTTAGTAGAGTTCTTGGCAGCTAGTAATGGTTTAATAAATGATTATTGATGGTAATGTTTATTCATTAAACAACCATCTACTGAACATCTTCTTTGTACCAAGTGCTGTGCTAGGTGATGTGGATACCCAGCCAAAGACTATTTATTCAGGTAGAAAAACATGGAAACCATTAATTTCATATAGCACCCGTTGTCCTATATTAGAGATATACAAAGGGTCCTGTGGGAGTCCAAATAAGGAACATCGTGTTAGCTTTTCATTGCTGGAACAAAATGCCTGAGAAGAACAATTTAGAGAGGGAAAGATTAATTTTGCTCATGGCTTCAGCAGTTTCAGTTCATGATCACCTGGCTCCATTGCTTTGGACCTGAGGCAAGTAGAACATCATGGCAGAAAGGTGTGGTGGGAAGGTTTTGAGGGACATGATAGCAATACATTTCCAGGGCACACACCCAGTGACCTACTTCCTTCTTCTAGATCCCACCTCCTAATGTTTCCACCATTTCCCACTAATATCAAATTATTACCATCAATGGATTAATCCACTGATGAGGTCAGATCCCCAATAATCCATTTACTTCCCCAGATGCCCCACCTCTGAACATTGCTGCATTGGGGAATAAGCCTTCAACACATGAGCCTTTGGGGGTCATTCCAGATCTAAACCATAACAGGCATCTTATGCATCTGTGGGGGTATAAGCAAATGGCTTTATAGAAGAGATGACTCATGAGATGAATGGTAAAGAATGAGTAGGATATAGCATAAATGAGTATTATGGAGAGAAAATTGCATAGGCAGATACCTAGATGGGTTATGCTACAGTGGTGATGCCCCAGTGATGAACCAAGGACTGCAGGCTGACTTGAAGGTTAGCTCCAAATTCATTCACTAGGGAACTGAGAGACTAGTAGCATAGAAAGAGCACATTACTTGGCTATGAAAAGATTTTTTATTCAGACAGAGAAGCCTTTCCCCCGCCCCTTAACTCTCAAACTTGGCAAGTGGAAGTTCAGAAAATGACGAGTCCCACCATCAGGTCCAACACATATGCTGATCTTTGAATATGAAGAGGGTTCCTTTAGGTCATAGTCCCTGTAATGCTTTGCCATACTCACTCTTATTCTGCTTTTCTTGGTAAGAAAAGTTCATATTTGCAAATTGTTAATATGTTTGAATTTGTTCTCATCACAGAAGGATGATTTTCAGATATATGCAAAATACTGTCAGAATAAGCCCAGATCAGAGATAATTTGGAAGAAGTATTCAGAATGTGCCTTTTTCCAGGTATGATAATTAAGTATTGGATATGTTTTTTTCTGGGAGATAGTGGGATACTTCTTATTTATAAGTTCATTCCTACTTTGAGTAACTTATATATGCATGTAAGTTAAAGAGCAATTCTCCCGTCTCCAAAACACACACACACACACACACACACACACACACACACGCACGCACGCACACACACACTTTCTATTCCCTAGAAGCAACCACTTCCGGTGCTTTTAACTACTTCTTTTGATATTTACCTCTATATATCCAAATAGTATGCTCATCCTCCTCCTTCCTACCCTGTAAAAAGAGGATTTAGCTCTTTCACTGCCACTTGACCATATACACATATAGTTCTTTCTTCCAAAATTTCCAATATAGTTATATTGTAATTTTGGTAAGATTTATGTACTGCATTTAATTGTTGAGACTATTATTTCTCTGCTTAAATAATCCATTTGATATAGTATGATTGCTTTTCCTCCCCTTTTGTTTTTCTTACAGTTGTTTTTTTACTCACACAATTTTCTAGATACTTAATTCTACTGACACTTTTTCCAGTTTTAGGAGTTATAAAAATATACTCTTGCAATATTTATATACATTGATTTTCTTTAAATTGTATCTTCTTGAAGAAGTATCTCCTAGGAGTTTCTGGCCAGCTAATCTTGACTCACTAGGCCTGATGCATAGCTTTCATCTCAGGATCTTGGTGAATATCATTTTTGAGACACCGTTCACTTGTCTCTTGAATAGGTTCTCTTGTTTCCTAGGTGCCACAACCTTATCATTCTTGTTGTATTTCCTTGTTTGGTAGAAAATATCTTCCAGTAATGTGTTGAGAAAATGTGCAATATAGGTAAATGTTTTCAAGAACATGTGTGTCTGCAAATATCTTTTTTTTTCTTCCATAACACTTTGATTGCTAACATGACTGGGTATAAAGTTCTAGGTAAGAAATGATAATCCTCAGGAATTTAAAGGAGTTGCTAAATTGCATCATTTTTTTGGGGGGGGGTGTACCAGGGATTGAACCCAGGGGCACTCCACCACTGAGCCACATCCTCAGTCCTATTTTGTATTTTATTTAGAAACAGGGTCTCACTCAATTGCTTAGTGTGTCGCCATTGCCAAGGCTGGCTTTGAACTTGTAATCCTCCTACCTCAGCCTTCTTAGCTGCTGGGATTACAAACATGTTTCACTGCACCCAGCTAGCATCAGATTTTTGTTCCATTGTAGGAGATCCAATTTTTGTCTTTTGGGAGCTTATGAAAACTTATTTTGGGTATTGGTGCCATTTTCATTCATTATGCTAGTCTTGTGCTGATGACATTGAATTTTGAGCTGCCAGTCCAAATTTACTAATTTTTTTCTATTTGATTTCCTCCATCCAGTTTTTCCCATTCTCCAATTTCTGGAATTTCTATTGTACAGATGTTACATATCTTGGACTGATCATCTAATATCTTTTCTTTCTGTTCTCTACCTCTTTGTATTCTTGTTATACTTTCTGGGATATATCTTTCACTCTTACTATTGAGGATTTTATTTCTGCCATTATGTCCTTAATTTTGAAAAGAATAACGTTTTGTTCTCTTGGTTCCTCTTAATACAATCCTGGTTTTGTTTCATAAATTCAATATGTTTGCTTATTGATATGAAGATCATAGATCTTCTTTTTTTTTTCTTAACTAGGGGTTGAACCCAGGGGTGCTATACCACTGAGTTACATCACTAGTCCTTTTAAAATATTTTTTAGTTGTAGTTGGATACGATACCTTATTTTATTTATTCATTTTTTATGTGGTGCTGAGGATCTAAGCCAGGGCCTCAGTGCTCTATCACTGAGCCACAGCCCCAGCCTTATCACCAGCCCTTTTTATTTTTTAATTTGAGACAGGGTCTCACTAAGTTGCTCAGGCAACTTGAATTCAAACTTCTGATCCTTCTGCCTCAGCCTCCCGAATCACTAGGATTACTGGTTTGTGCCATATGATTTTACTTTACAAAGTAGTTTTCTTCTCATGGCATAGATCCTGTTATCTTCAAATTGCTTCTATTTTTTTCTTCTTTTTTCATTTAGTTCCTGCCACTCATCTTAGATGTTTTCCTCAAAAGTCTGATGGTAGTTGTCTGTTCACTTACCTTAGGAGTGAGCTTTAAAAAACTCATTGGAAAGTTCCTATGCATTTGTGGATTTATTGATCATGATCCTCTTGGTTGTGTGATTTGTCTGAAGTAGTTTCCTTAGGGAGATTCCTCAATACCTATATGTTTAGTTCCTTTGCTTGTCAGCTGTTTAGAGTTCCCAACCTGCTACCCAATGTATAAGGGTCTGCCTGACAATGTTGTGGATGCCATATTTGGGGCAAACACTATGAGTCCCTAATTTGGTAAATAGATATTCAGGCACTCTCCTTGCCTTCAATATGGCATTGTGCCCTCAGATTGCATCCTTGTATCCCTTAGTCCAGAGGCCCTCTGTTTTACTCTTTATAATCTAATATCTAATATCTGTTATTCTTTCATCAGGAGTGAAGGGCAGCTACCTAGTTGAGCATAATAGTATGTTTATCTGAGAGATTTTGATTTTCATGTTTATTTTTAGCTTTTTGTGCCCATTTAAATTTTGGGGGGAACAGTTTTATTGAAATATAAGGAAAATACTATAAAATTCACCATTTAAATATATATATATATATATAGTTCAGTGGTTTTACTATATTTACAAGATTGTACAACCATAGTCGCAGTCAATTTAGGAACATTTTTACTTTTATAAAGAAAACACCCTGTATCTTCTAGCAAGTCACCTCCTATTTCTCCCAATCCCTACAGCCCTAGGCAACCCCTATTCTGCTTTCTGTCTCATGGATTTGCCTGTTCTGGGCATTTTATGTAAATGGAATCCCATAATATATGATCTTTGTGTTTAGCTTCTTTCACTTAGCTTGTTAGCAAGTGTCATCCACGTTGTACCATTTATCAGTTCTTCATTCCTTCTTTATGTCAGAATAATATTTCATTGAGTGATTATATTACATTTCATTTACCCAGTCATCAGTTGTGGGACATTTGGGGTGTTTCCACCTTTTGATTAGTATGAATGATGCTGCTAGGAAAACTTTTCTACTAGTTTTTGTGTAAATATGTGGTTTATTTTTAAATTTCTATTGGCTGTATACATGTAAGTAAAATTGCTGGATAATACTGTGACTCTCTGTCAGCCTTTTAAAGGATATATTGGACTATTTTCCAAACTGGCTACACTGTTTCACATTTCTACCAACAATATATATGAGGGTACTGATTGTTCCATATCCTTATCACACTCAATATCTAATTATTTCTTAAATGGGCTTTGAACAACCATTATTTTTGAACCCCAGATTTATTTTGTGTCTTCAGAGTTACTTCATGTCTATAATCTTGAGTTTTTGTAATGGGGGTATGTGTGTGTTTGAATGGACTATAACAGATATATCCTTTCCTCGGCTTTTTCCTCTGCCAACTTGAGATTTGTTTTTCTCAAGCATGCTCAATTGTTTACCACTTGTTGGTGTGGTTTTCATTTTCCAAATTTGACAATACTTTCTAGTTTCCCATCTTTGGGTTTTTGCCTTCTGAAAAGTATCTTTTCCATCATTTTACTTAGCTTTCAGGAATGAGGAGCTGCAAATGCATGCACCAGCCCACTATCTTTAGCCATAAATTATTAATAATTATTATTTGAATTAGATTGAATATTATATTTTATCCATATCCAGTGGAGGGTCATGGATCTTATTTAGTTCATTTTGTGTTCTGAATTTCCTATATGTATATTTATTCCTCACCATCCCCATCTTGCCCTAATTATGGGCCTTCCACTATTCCCAGGACCCAATGTCATGACCCTTATATTTATAGTGGCAGTGAGCCAATTACTGAATGAAATATAGCACCAGTTGATAAAGACTGTATTTTTCTTGTGATCTTAAAAAAATCTGTTCTCATGCCCAGTCTGATTTATATTTAGCACAACCTATTTCTTTTCTGGGCCTTGGCCTATGGAGCTGAGTCTTTTGTTAATTTTCTTGGATATATTGAAGAACTTTTTAATCATGCTAATCTATTGTCATTCCTTGCTTTCTCACCTTAAACATTACACATCAATAAGAATTTACATGTCAAATGATTTTAGTCTTCAAAATGTTAGAATTTTCTACCTCCCAAGTCCTTGAAATACTGTTTATTGTTTCTCAGTTATAATGACTTAAAATTTCTGTACCATATGTAATACTAATTTTTCTGATAAATATTTTTGAGATGTAAGCAACATTCATGCATTGAGTCTCATCAAAGAACACTTGGTATTTTTACATGTACATGTGTTAATTTAAATTTATTGATAATTATCTTTTAATTGCAGGAATGTCAGAGAAAATTAAAACACAGACTTGGTCTGGATTCCTATTTGCTCAAGCCAGTACAGCGAATCACTAAATATCAGTTACTCTTAAAGGTAATTACATGAAACATTTCTTTCCTTTTTAACTCACATTTTTGGGTCAGATGTAGAAAAGCCATTAAAAAGGAAATTGTTGACTAGGAAGTGCTAGAAATAGGTAGGCGCATTGAGTTGGGTAGGCAGGAGTTGGCAGTAGACAGTGCAGTGTGCTCCTTCACGATGGCAGTGCAGAGGACAGGCATAGATAACAGGCTGAGAACATCTGGAGGATTAAGTATTTAATTCTCCATGCTAGGTACTTAATTTATGTACAGTGTTGTACTAAAGAACTTTTGATATTAAGATCTAAATAAACATTTCTTTGAAACTGTACTTCATATTGCTTTCTCAATCAACAATGCCAATGCTGTTCTTCTAATGTAATGTTAAAAGATTACTAAAATATTGAGCTAAGTATGAATATAACATAGTTTGCTTTAAAATTTATTTTCATAAAGTCCTATGCTGTGTGCATCATGAATGCATCATGGATACAACAAGTTATTGTATGTAGAGAATGAAAAAACCCACATATATAATTGCTTTAAAAAATAATATCTAGTGTGACTAAATAGCTATTGTTTTTTCAGCTCCAAAAGCATTTGATGCCTCTGTTGCATAGAGTTCAGTCACTCTTCTACTTCTTTCCCAATTTTAACACTGTGATTAAATAGATAAATGTGACAAAGAGCATATGAAAGAAATTATGCAAAAGTGTCATTATCTTTGATTCCTTCCTGAGAGCATGTTAGCCAAAAATTTATTCATTTTCTGCAGCTATGTTAATATGTGCTTAATATTAAGTTTAATTCCTGATTTCTAATTACAGGAACTATTAAAATATAGCAAGGACTGTGAAGGATCTACTCAATTAAAGGAGGCCCTTGACACAATGCTGGATTTACTGAAGTCAGTTAATGACTCCATGCATCAGATTGCAATAAATGGCTACATTGTAAGTAAACTTTTAAGACTATGAATTTTTAGGGGGTAAGCTTGTCACCATCACTTTCTTACCCTTCTGAAATCACCTGAAAAAGAACATAGAAGAGGTAGATAAATGGATATCAAAATATTAGCATCATTACTCATTATGCATCATTACAGATCAAGTGGATTTGCAATGTTCTTATCTTGAACAGCCTGTTCCCAAGTCCAGACCTAGGGAGATTTCGATTGAAAGAATGTTTGGGTCACCAAAAGAGACATATTGTCCCAGAACTGCTGCTTGCCCTAGCCTAGGAAAGATAGGGTTTTAATAAAAAGAGGACATCTTTGGAGCTTGCAGCCTTTTAATAAATTAGCTCCACCCAGTGGGGAAACTTGGACCTGGTGTATGTCAGGTACCTAACCGGATTGAGGAATCTATGGGAGTTACCCTGTCATCTCACATGGAATTGATATGAAGCCAGGGAAAAGGAAAATTTCTTTTGGCTTCCACCCCTACAGTAATTTTATACAGATGTGATGCATGGCACATTTTAATTTAAAAAGTTATAATGAATGCAGTTTTTTAAACATACAAATTATGCTTCAGCGTTTTAGTAGGTCAAGCTAAACACTAAATGCTGATGTCAGAGATTTGAATGTAGCTTTGCCTTCTACTAATGGGATTTGATTTTCTATTCTAGGGAAACTTAAATGAGCTTGGCAAGATGATAATGCATGGTGGATTCAGTGTCTGGATAGGGCACAAGAAAGGTGCTACAAAAATGAAGGATTTTGCTAGATTCAAACCAATGCAGCGACACCTCTTCTTGTATGAGAAAGCTGTTGTTTTCTGCAAAAGGCGCACTGAATCTGGAGAAGGCTCTGATAGATACCCATCATATAGTTTTAAGCATTGTTTGAAAGTAAGACAATTTGAATTGTGTAATGTAATAGCATTCTCTATATGTTTCATTCTGTACACTTTTTCGGTTCAAGTGGGTGGGTTTTATACTTTGTTTAAAAGGAATCTTCAGTAGAAGTACTATTGAAGTACAATAAAGCAGAACTTCTTTTCTCAAATGAGAGTGAGGGAGTACAAAACTTGTAAACCTTCTTTTCTCCCTCTCAGCAGCAATCCCAGGTATTCTCCAAGGGGCTCCCTAGCAATCTGCAGAGCACAGTTTCAAATGACAGGGAGAGATCCACATTCCCCCATGAGGACTCTCTTACCAGTGGTACCAGATGTAGTTCTTGATTTATTAGCAAGGGACCTTTATTTAAAGGAGAGACAAGGAGGAAAGAATTTCTCCCTTTTCCTCAAAGCAGTTTAAAATTGAAGGACTTTCATACTCAGCATACTTTCCTTTCTGTATCTCTCCTCCATTCCCAAGCATCATGCTTTCTGTGTGTACAAAGCTACCTATGGCTGAATCCATTCCATACCTGTTCTTTCATATCCCTTAAAATTATATATTATTTCCTGTAAACCAAGTTTTCATTCTGCCAAAATGTTAGTGCGTATTAAAATGGGAGCAGTAAATTACTTGAGGAAGTCACTGACAACCCAGTAATACTTCCAGCTGGTTTTACTATCAGAACCAGAGGAATATCCAATTCACATGAGGCTGTAATTGGTTTTGATTTCTCTATGCTTCATGTTTTTCAAGTTCTAAATTCTAAAAGCAACATATCTGTTGCATAGAAGTTGCAAAATACAGAAAACTATCATTTTTTT